AAAAGATACAAGTAAGAGATATTGAGAAGAGACAAGTGAATGAGTGTTTTTGTGAGAGAAGAAAAAAAAAATATTTGTGAAATAATCGTTGTGAAGATTAAGAGAGTATTAAAAAGAATTTGGGAGTTTTTATTGAAGATAGGGTTGAGAGCTTCTTGTGAAGAGAAATTTCAAATTATTATACTTTTTTTAAATAGTGAATTAATCTCTCTTTTATATAGACATAAACTTCTTGTTAACTATATAAATTGAGTCACATTAAATTGTTGTTTTAATTTTTTTTTATTGCTTCTTGTGTGGGATTGTAGTGCTATAAAATTCCCAACAATTAGATGCATTCGTTTAGTACGATTAAGCCATACCTTACCGTCATTCTCTTGCAACTTGGCGCTGCCGGGTTGGATATCCTGTCCAAGGCCGCACTGAACCAGGGGATGAGCAACTATGTGCTTGTTGTCTACCGCAACGCAGTTGCCACCATTGTTGCGGCTCCTTTCGCTGTCATTTTTGACAAGTCTGTCTTTTTGTCTCTTAATTTGTAATAAACAACCATGACAATATACATCATAGTGAAGGTTAAGTATAGAACTGAAATAAGAGTGATGTTCGTTGACGATTACAGGAAAGTACGGCCAAAGATGACAGTTGCAGTCTTCACCAAGATAATGGTGCTCGCCTTATTGGAGTAAATATCTGACCGAATTGCATAATCAAATTTCCTCATGGCTCAGGCTAAAATTTGTAACAATCTGTATCAATTTCTTTGCACTTTGCAGGCCGGCGATTGACCAAAACTTGTATTATTTGGGGATGAAGTATACAACGGCAACCTTTGTGACTGCTTTGTACAATATTGTCCCGCCTTCACCCTTCTCTTGGCTTGGATATTTGTAAGGTAAATTCTAATGTCAGTTATGCAAAGAGCTAGCTGCATCATATAATTCAATTAGCGTAAGAACAATGACTAGATTTTCAAGTGCATACCTAAACAGCCATTGTTTTTTTCGTTAAATGTCAATTTTAGTCCTTCCACTTTAGAGTTTTATATAATTTTTATCATGTAACTATTTTAAGTATTTTTTTGTCCATTCACCAGTTAATTCATTAAATTTGTTCATATATGTATATTTTTAGTTCAGATTAAAAATCTAAATACATTATAAGTTTATGTACTAAAAATGTGTATATATTTTTTTGGTAATAACCTCTCGGTATCTAAAATTACATTACATTTAATTAATCCGAAATCGAATCGTGTTGGACCCTATATGAGAGGTAACTTTTCAAATGCACATTTTTCTATTCACAATACTCGAATTCAAAATCTTGTTTAAAGTGAATTAAACTCCTTTCACTTGGATTAACAAGTTGTCAGTAAAATATGTATATTTGGATAACTTAATTGATTAACTAACAAAAGAACAAAAATGTGCATTTTTCAAAGTTAAGGACGAAAAAAGTTCAAAAAGAGTCAAAGGACTAAAACTGTGCAAAACCCTAAAGTTGGAGCACTAAAATTGGCCTTTAACCTTTTTTTTTTTTTTTCCTTTGCAGAAGTGAGAGAATGATGATCAAGTCAATCCACAGCCATGCTAAGGTAATCGGGACGATATTAACAGTTACTGGAGCAATGGTGATGACACTGATGAGAGGACCAATGATCCCATTAAGTTGGACAGGAAGACCCACAACACATGAGCAAGCAACAAATGGGACGGATGTCCATAGTTCAATCAAGGGTGGTCTAATGGCCGTCGCTGGCTGCTTCTGTTCTGCTTGTTTCATGATCCTACAGGTAAGCTCACCATTATTACCTTTTTTGTTACATTGGAAGTTGGCTGTTGGGCATTACAAGAGTTTAAATCCCTGTTTTTGGGCTCCAACTTTGACTCAAGTCAAGATCTTTAAATTTCACATTTTGTAATGCATAATACATACATAAAATGCCCAAATATCTTACAACCTTAATTTTCTTGCCTTTTTAGGCAGTGACACTAAAAACGTATTCGGCAGCGCTCTCTCTCACTGCCTGGGTATGTCTTTTGGGCACGATTGAGGGATCCATTGTGGCCTTGGTTATGGAAAGGGGTAAAGCCTCTGTGTGGGCTATTAAATGGGATACCAATTTACTCATAGCAACTTACAGTGTAAGAAAAATACATTTAAGCTGTCCTAAATCTATATTTTCACAGCTAATTTCCTTGGACAGATTCATGTTTTCTAACAATGGATCGGAATATGTTTTGCAGGGAGTAATAAGTTCTGGACTGACTTATTACATTCAAGGAATAATAATGAAAGATCGGGGGCCGGTTTTTGTAACGGCTTTTAGTCCCCTATGCATGGTTATTGTTGCTGTCATGTCATCCTTTATTTTCGCTGAACAAATGTTCCTGGGGAGGTATGGTACCCCTAGTGCTAGCTAATGTCATAACACCATGCACAAAGAGTAGGGTTTAAACGATTGAATGACTAACTAACCAATTTGAAGTTGAACAGGGTGACTGGTGCCATAATCATCATTGTGGGGCTGTATCTTGTGCTGTGGGGTAAAAGAAAAGATTACAGATTCTCATCCCCATCAATGGAAGAGGAAATACAAGCATCTGAACAAAAACAGGGAAATGGTCTGATCATGAAGGCATCAACATTGATGAGTTGAGTGAAGTAAGCGCATGCAGAGACAGAAAAACACAGGACAATGAGAATCCCAATTAATATTATCTAGCAGCGAATTCCGGTGACAAGAGAGATTAAACTTAATATGAGAGCAATGGTTGTAGACTCTTTTCATGCATCCATTTGTTTAATGTTATGTATTATTAGATGACAAAGATAAGAAAGTCTCCGTTTTTATAAAATCAAACTGCCAACAGAATTTTCTGCAATAATTTTCCTTGGAAGCATAGAAGTGATTATAATCAATACGTGCTCACACTGAATATGAGAGTGACACATGATAAAATTTCTCTCTTTTCTTTTCAGTTGAGCTGTGAACTTCATACGAACTATTCAGATACATTAAAAGACAATAGAACAAGGTTCAATTCTGTGGGTACATGCGCCCGCATTGATTCAAAATGACCTCTAGCACTCAAATTAGCAAAATAATCAAAGCTCTTGCTAGAAAGATACCTCTATGCACAAATATTGAAGATCCTAGCTTGCAAAATGAACAGGGAATGTTTAAGACAATAATTTTCCTCCATCATTTCCATATATATGCTGAAGTTCACGAGATGCAGCTAAAAAGGATTTTGCAAAAGTAGGATGAGGAACAAAAGTGAGCACAAAAAAGCATCCTTTCTCAGTGAAACAGTGCTTGTAAATGATGGTTTAAATATGAATCATTGGGACATGAAAACATAGAAACATCAAAATGCATACAGGAATACATATTACCTTTCCACAGCCTGAATGACTTCTGATTAATAGGCGAACCAGTAATAGTCTGAATAACATCAAACAGCATATTCTGAGGTGTGCTTCTAAGCTCCTGGACAATGCCATATATTGTCTTTCCGTTCTCAAAATAGAAGTGATTATTAGGGTGTTTTGTTTTGCAACTAGCATGTTGTTCAAATTCATATGCATTGATTACCTAAAAAGAAGGCCACTAATCAGTCTGTTAGGCCGACCACTAAAAGTTGGTTGAGCATTACCTTAATACCTGTGATATATAATTGAAAAGAACACTTACCTTAGAGAAATTGCATGACTGGTAGCCACATTGATATCCAGAACCTTTTATGACGCTACGAAGCTCCTTCTAAAATGCATAAGAAGAAGCAGAAAAGTCACTGCGCAGTAAGGTCAACTAAATGATGAACAGATGAACTGACATTTACCTCTCACAACCAGGCAGTATATTTTACCGGAACACCATCCAGCATACCTGTTGATAGCAAACTTCTAACATTTGAAGGGTAGTTGTTTGATTGAACCTTTTTAGATGTCTTTGGATCATCTTTCTTGCTAGAAACTTCGGCCCCAGAAGCACTTACAACACCACTGGAGACAAGTGCTTCAGCATTCAATTTAACATCTTTTTCATCAAGTGCTTCTGATCTTTGGATAGAGGTCTGACTCACCAACAGATCATAATTGAATATGAGGCTTCCAGATGGATTTGTATCATCATCATCATCATAGCCACCAAAGGAGATTATGGGACCCTCTCCCTTGGTAAAAGACTGTCCAATTGACAAAGTATGGTTCTCACTCTTATCATGGGTATGACCCATAGATATGGTACTATCATTTACCTTACTTAAGGCGTGACACATTGATATTGCGTTTTCATTTGCTCTATTGTAGGTTTGACCCATAGAATAGAGGTGAAATTGGTGTCAGTCTTATCAAAGGTGTCACTCATGGCTAAGTCATTGGAACTATCTTTATATGTTTCACTAACTGTAGTGCCCTCTTCCCCCTGTTATATGACTGTCCCATTGATATGAAGACATTAATATCCTTGTCATAGGTATCCCCAATAGACAAGATATTCTCATTTCCTTTGTTATAGCCAAGACCCATGGATATGGAACTGTCTTCCACCTTATATGCATGACCGACAGACAGTGAGTTAGTATCAACCTATCATATGCATGGCTCATTGATACAGGCATATTCTCAGAGTCCTTGACCTGGCTGACTTTTACTTTTCTAATGCCTCCGTAACTTAGTCCAGATCTAGGGTCTTCTAAAGTTTGACACATAGATAAACCAAAAGAAGAATCATTTCCAAGCATATCTTCATTAGCTTTTCTCCCCATATCAACTTTCTCTAAGCTAACTGATGGAATGCCCTGATCATCAAAATTCATTGTTCTAGCAGTTTCAGGATCAAATAACCGTTCACTGAAATGACCAGAAATCAAGTGAAAACCAGAAGTATTCCCCCACAGAGAAACATTTGAATTCAACATTCCTGAAAATAATTTAGAGGTTGAAACAGCATTAACTGCCTGCTTCTTGTTTGGAAAGAGCTCTGTCTCAGGACTATCCATAAACCATTGATGAGAACGCAGAGGCTCAACTCTAGAAGACTTATCATAAGCCATCTCATTATCATTTAAACACGCAGCACCCTTGATCAAAAGCCCTGATTCTGGAACAACTATCATATGTAAGATATAACTAATAAGAAACAAGTTATTACAATAAGGCTAATACAAAAATTGAATAAAGAATAAAACTTGAGGCTATCCATTATGTCTTGACGATTGACCAGCAACCCATTAAGATTATTCCATATCTCTCCCCTTTTATCTATTAAGTACAAAATGAAAAAAACAAATGGATACTATTCACAAGATTCTTTTCCCTCGTTAGCAGAAGTAGTTACTCAGTACTTCTCTGCCACCAACACTGCTCACCCATAAGTCGTACGCATAAATTAATTACAAGAAGCCTCAAACCTCAAAATCTCAATAACAACCCTATCCACCAGATGAGGCTTAAAATATGTCCAATTTAACTTTAATGCCATAAAGCAATTACATGTTGAACTAATTTCAATCTAACCCAATCCCCTAAAGATTTTTATAATCAAATGCATAATTATTCAAGCAGACTACAAACCAGCAGAGATAATAAAACTTTTAATTACCATAAGGCCTGCACTAAACAAACCATCAGAAAAACAATTAAGCAGATAGACATTATAAAGACATCAACAACTCTATTTTAAACATCCGCCGTCTGCATAGAAAAATATAGTAAAATACTATAGCATACATGTCTTAGAGTGCCTAAGCACATCTAAAGCTTAAGAATTCATTAAAAAATTATGTGAAACTTACCATTCTTTCTTGCTTTGGCCAATTTCGCTCAAAATACGTTCCCCCATTTGGTCATAAAAATCCAACAGTTAACCTCAAGACCTATATGACATGCTTGAAAAATGCACTTGGTGGTGTCACAAATTACTTTGATGGTATTATTCAACTTCCCGTTGAAGCAGGACCTGGGAGATGTCATGAAAATCCAAATGAGAACTAGCTACACATCAATCTGCCAAATGCAAGCCTAAAGCAGTCCAAATTCGAAAGCCCAAATGATTATAATTTCGCATACAATGCCAAACACCGATAACACCAGTCAACCAATGCCCCATGCAATTGTAGAACTTACTGAAATCAACATTTTCTTCTTATAAAATCAAAACATTAAAAAGAAAAATACTTTGCTTTCTTTTATTTTCTCAACTCAGCTCTCTTATTGTCTCGTTAACCAAACGGTCACAAGAGAACTGAGAAAACATGCTTAAGGATTTGGAGCCAGTTCGAAAACCTGAGGGTTAAATACCCAAATTTGGTCCCTCAACTTTTATTTTTGAATCAAATTTATCCTTAAACTTTAAAAAGTAGTAAACATATTCTCAAACTTCAATTTTTAGGACTAATTTGGTTCTTCTATCAACTAAAGTGCCAGATGGCATGTTAAATTGCCACAAAATCAATTTTTTTTTTTTTTTTAACTAATGACATGGAAAAAAATATGTGAGAAGTGATGAGTTGGTATTTTATCCCTAAAATTACATAATTATCCCTCTCTGACATATTATTATAACTCATTTTATTACTTTAATATTTATTAAAGTTATCAAAATACTCTTATCTTTAACCTTACCGATCCCTCTCTCTTTTATCGATCTTTTTGAAGATGAACCTTGCCCTTACTCATTTGTTTGGGAAACTGCATATTTGAGTGAAGAAAATTTGAAAAATCCATCTTTAATAAGTTTAGTTCTCTTCTTCACAACCTTTTTTTTTTTTTTTGCTTTAATCTTTTTGGAAGTAGCTTTAAGGGGCTTTCCTAGCTTTTTTGATTTTAGAAAACTAGATCTAAAACAAATCCTTCTCTTTGGTTACCACTGCTTCAATGATGTCGATATGAGGATCTGCATTAAAGGAGGAGGACACACTTCTTAGATTTGTGCCATTCGTCAAAGCATCACCAAAGCTTTAGTTTCCTTCTAGCAGAAGAATGTTGACGAGCAAAGTAGTATTGGGGAAATGTCGTTTGGTGATGAAGATCAAAGTAAGAGGAGCATGGTAATCGTTGATGAAGATTAGAAATGGGTGAGAACAATGATTGATGATGAAGATCGAAGATAGGTAAGAATGGTGATTAAACGATGTTGGAAGAAGAAGAGGAGAAAGGTTGAGAATGATGATTGAAGGGCAAAAGGTGTGATGATTTAGGGATTAGAATTAGGGCTTTTGGTGTTGGATGAATATTAGGAGTAGTGAAATGGTGAGTATTATTGTAAATTTTGCTTAAAATGTCAAATGGAAAGAAAAAAAAGGCCACCTCATCACCTTATGCATGTTTTATTTAACACATCATTAAAGTTTTAAGAAAAAGACTAATTTCGTGGCAATTTAACTTACCATCTAGCACTTTTGTCACGGAAGGACTAAATTGGTCCAAAAAATTGAAGTTTAAGAACATTTTTAGTACTTTTTAAAGTTTAAAGATAGATTTGGTTCAAAAATAAAAGTTGAGGGATCAAATTAAGTATTTAACCAAACATTAGAGTTGCTTTGTCTGATAGTCGGGACCCATTTATTTGGTGGATTAAATTTCTTGCCCAAAGCCCAACACACACTCGAGGAAGACGTCAATGTTTTGGGGTTTTTTTTTTTAAAAAAAAAGATTCTAGGTTTTTGGCTTTTGATCTTCTACTTTTAGATTTTTTTTTTTATTTTTTATTTTATTTTATTTTATATAAAAAATTTATTTGATGGGAAAGAAGACCTCTAATATTAAGAAATTCAAATCTAATGTAATAATTAATATTGTCCAGTTTAATAAAGTTCAAACTACATAACATTTTTTCTTGATTATAAATTAACATTTAAATGACTAGATATATGACATTTATTATACTAAACATAAAAATTTTAAAAAAAATCCAAAAATGAGCAACAAAGCATTACATTATTATATATTTCTTAATCTGTTCAGACAGTGTTGAAAAGTTTCAGCTATAAGATATATAGGAGACTCTCCCGGAAGCTATATCTTTCCACGTACACTTCCACCAGCATCAAAATTTGAGAGGCAAAGGAAAAAAAAAAAAAAATTGAACCCTTCTCTGCAGAAAGCTGAACTCCTCTAACAAAAGTCTGAAACACTTGATCAGGTTGGGTGGCAGCTTCCAAGAGAAACATAAAAGCGCATGGACATATTGACATGGAAATAAGGAATGCTCATAATACCAACTTTTCCTTTCCAATTCCCTCCTCTACCCGTCCGTTCAATCATCAGCATCCCCATGATCCACCACCGTCATGTCAAAAATCAGGCGTGCAGCAGTGGATGTATGACAAACCCCACTTACGGTTTTCATCATAGACAGCAAAGGGTAAACAGCAAAAACTGTCTCGAGCTATTGGTCCCAGAACATATTCCCTCATCACTTCATAAGTTCATATCAAAACAATCACATGGCCTTGCAGGTAGTCCCCCAGATGATAAAAATGCCAGAGACCCTGCAGTTGTCCTGGTGGATGCTTGTCTTACAGTATTGGTAAGAGTTCTGACCCCAGTAGGGCAGTAATGGCAGGTTACTTTCTATAACTTGTGGAACTGGATTGTCAATAAAATCTGGGATTGGTTTCTACGCAGCTCTGTGTCCTTGGAATAATCAAGAGCTCCTCTGCTTGGACCTTGGCTAGGCCCGAAGAGGAGAGGCTGGTGCTTGTAGGAAGTTTTAGCGGGCAGGATCTAGCGGTTGGGATGCAGTTTGCTGAATTGACTTGGACTGAAAATAGGGAATAAACTGATCTGTGGTCTGAAAATCTAGACTCTCCCCTTGCATACCATAACTGTTTCATCCCTTCACCTTTCCACAATATCCTATCACACCTGAAAATAATGTCGAAAGATTAATTAACCCATGATAACGTTATGCAAGTTGTGATTAAATTAGGAATTAGCGCCAAGAAACATAAAAATCAAGAGGTGATGAGCGATGAATGACATGGATATTGTAAATTAAACTTTAATAAAATGAGGTCGGTAAGTGCAAATTACATGGTTGCTCTTATTTTATAACTGGAAAGATACCTCTTACCTGCTGTTTCATTTTATAATTAATCTGTATAACCAGGGTCAAAATATTTCATGGGATTAAATATTCATGGACAAAATGAGAATTTTCAAATGGTAATGATAATACTTCATGCACCAATTATTGCAATAGAAAAATGGAAACTTGAACTTTTAATAGCCATTTGAGACTTCAACACAATCGTATTATCGGCAACTGGTAATATAAAAAACAATCCACAGGCTAGCAAGCAAGGTCCCCCCATAACAGTCTTAAGCATGAAAGAACAACAATACTAAATTAATGATAAGGATGGCTTAATTAAAATAAATCCACCAATAGCAAAGCTGAGATTGACAATGTATGGAAAATGTGATTCAGATTTCTCTGGTAGGTCGGTATGGATATGGACCATGGAAAATGGATAAATTTATTGTATAAATATTGTGACATAAAAAAGACAATAGCCAAAACAGGAAAGGCAACTGCAGGACCGACCAATACTTATGTATGGTAACCTATATATCACTAGTGACAAAAATCAATATTCCTTCATACGTATGAGGCAGCAGCTTGTTTCCTACTTCGATAAGCAACCTCAATTACTGCACAACTTGGTATTAATTTAATCTGCTGGGAGGCATTTAACTAGCAAGAAAATTAGAGAGGTGAAAGGAACATGAGTTTGGAAATCTTACCAAGCAGGAGTACGTTGTTTCTCTTTTGATTTAGATGTTTGGCCAACATAATGGTCAGAATTGGTGCCATATTTGTAAGTTGGGGCAAAACATATCCTCCCTTCTTCCCACCCTTTAAATACTCGACCAGCTTTCTGTTCTATCTTTAGCTGCCAGAATGAACAAGAAAATATCACATTACACTATGAAACTAAACAAATGAAAAAGAAATTGACACAACACCACAATTTGATGATAGGCCTCCCACCTGATCCTTCTCCAAAAGAGCCTGCCATTCATTTTTTGTCAATGACTCATTTATGTCGTGGCTACTAGCAACCAGGCGATAATTCAAATCCCCCAGCCAAATAATCTTGCTGAATCAAACAAAACAGTGGATTGGAAAAGAAAGTTAGAGAAAATGATGATAAATAAAAGAACCAATTTATAAACTTGGAAATGACTAGAATCTAGGAGCTTACTCATGCTCCAATATGCTCTCAGGAGGAGGGGGTTGCCTAAAATCTTTATATGAACAAGAAAATCTCGTTCTTCTTAAAATTTCAGTAACATCAGAATTCCTTCTAACTTCATCTCCTTCTTTCTCCCCTGAAGTCAAGTGGGTACAAACAAAGCAGAACGTTGTTTGATTTAATGTCATGCTAATAGATATTGAACCCTGCAATCCAAACATAAAAATTATGAATTTAGATTGTTGGTTCAGTGTTCCACTATAAACAACTTAAGAGGGGGGGGGGGTGGAAATGGGATTAGGATGTAATGGCGGCTGACGGACCTTGTTTCCTAGGT